TTCTTGATGGGCAAATGTACTATGGACATTCTATCTGACTAGGATGTTCTTTCCCCCAAACAAGGACTGGATTCTACATTTAGATGGTGAATGTTCAGTTCCTTCCTTGGAGCATAATGTAGCATTCTACTAGGTAACAGAACTTCTTTTTTGTCTTTTCCCTTCATGTGCTTCAAAACTGATCTAACCACCCAGGGCTCTTTGAAGTCAAAGGAAGCTCTGAACCCAGGGAAACTCTGATGTCTGGGGCAGGGACTCTCAAGATAAATGAGACAAACAGAAAGGAATGTTAGGAGAAAAAGAGAGGTTGAACCCTTTGAATGTCATGCACCATGTTGATGCCCCAGTCGATGAGAGAATCTTGTACACAAATCAGCAAGTCATGACTGGTAGAAAAAGAACAGAGTAAATATACAATAACAGTTGAATTCTATCTGGACCAGGAAGTGAAAGTTCATACATCAATGAAACAATTATTCTGTCTTGATTGGAGATGCCAACTTTGAGTCAGATAACTAAGGGTCAAAAAGCATAAAATCTGACCTTGGATTTATTGCTTGTTTTAGTTTTCCCATCCCAATAGGTATTGAAAAGATCAGTTTTGGTTAGATTTTTGCCTTTTAAGGTCCTGAGCTCCAGGAATATTAACATTTGTAGTTAGAGTGAATTAATCACATTATGGTACATATAAACTAACCAAAATCAGATTATACATTAAACTGCTGCATGCTAGTCTTAAAAGCGTCTACCTAATCATTGCCTAATTCCTTGAAATTTCTGCAATGTTTCCATACAAAGTGGGAAAATACAAAGCCTAGGATTAACTACTGATAGCTAACAAACATAGAGAAGCTATTTCTTTTTTTTTTTTAAGATTTTATTTATTTATTTATTTGAGAGAGAGAATGAGAGAGCACATGAGAGGGGGGAAGGGCAGAGGGAGAAGCAGACTCCCTGCTGAGCAGGGAGCCTGATGCGGGACTCGATCCTGGGACTCCAGGATCACGACCTGAGCCGAAGGCAGTTGCTTAACCAACTGAGCCACCCAAGTGTCCCGAGAGGCTATTTCTATTGATCTGTTGAAGCCTAGAAAGAATCATCCGATGGCATTTATTTTCATTCACAGTATTTTATCAAGCCATAATAGGATATGACTCATGGATTTATAACTAATATATTAAATTTGTAAACTGTCTAACATATTTATTAAATATACTTGCAAATATTAGGAGTGTTTAAGTCACTCTTAACATGGACATACTTCATACATACCAAGTATAGCTTCCTTGCTCAAATGTGTTTATACAGCTATAAAATCCCCAAATTAAAGATCAATCAGGAAAAGTAAAATATTGCTAAAGAATGAGCATGTGAGATTTAAGTGCTAGGAGAAAATTACAAAGGGCTTCCTCTGACATGACTTTAGGTAGGTGGGATCCAGTTTGTGGTTGATTCTCTTAAAAGTAATTCTGTTTTAACATCTCCCTAACTGTAACAGTTTCACTAATTCATCAAAGATATTGACCAATTTATCTGTCTTTTCCACTATTGTTTCTAGATTTTAAAATGCCAAGATGGAAAATAATTACACACGCAAGCAGACAATACTGTAGCTTATAGGTATTTATACACAATTTGAAAGCCTCCTTTTTTTCTATGGGAAATGTTTAATGTACACCTAACTACCTGGGTTTTAGCAAATTTATGTGTAAAGTTAGATTTAATAAGAGCAAAATGCTGTACAATTTTATATAATGTCTGTTTTAGACAAAAGATGGATTGAAAAGAAAATTATACTGGACTTATGAAAATGCTCGTGTCAAATTTGGATGGATTGACAAAATTATATTTATGACCCATAATAGCTGTGAAATATTAGCCATTTGGCTTCTCATCTATTGAAAAATTTCTCATAAAATGTAAAAAAGAAAAACTAGCCTTCTTTGCCTTTTTTCTCATATAGTAAGACACATGCTATTTTGATTTAAGCTGCATATTGTTGGAAGTAAGTTGTGAAATATACAAATTCTGCCAAGGACACAGAAGGTAATTCAGTCAAGAGTAATTGTGTCAATTTCTAACTCAGATTAAATTTGATTTTTTGAGCACTGAAAGTGAGGTCATAAAGAGTATTTTTAAATCTACACTTGTTCAATTACCACAGTTGAGTTTTTATACTAAAATATATTCATCATAATCAGAATAAATTTGAACTTTATATTTAATTAAACAAATGGCTTAGGGTAAAGGAAGTATTTCAAGTTTAATAAAACCTTGCTGCAGTTTTACTTACTTTGAAATGAAAACTTAATTTGTTTCTTTTTATGTTTCATAGTTTTATTACAGAAATGATATAATTTGAAATGAATGTTTCAAAGGAAAAACAGCTGTCAAAATCTTGATCCATAACTATTCTCAATATTACATATTATCATAGAGATTTAGGGCAAAGGTACACCTATTTTAATGTATCATGTTAGCTATGAACATTTACAAAGTACTTATCTTTTTCTTCTAGTTTCTTCCAGCAAATCAAAACTTCTCATCATTATCTCTTAACTCTTTCACATACAGAAGGGAAATAATATTTATCTAGAGTCTTTTTTTGGGCAATGCTTTCTGGAAAGTATATATGCATAATTATTACTCCTACTTTATGGGTATAGAAACTAAGGATAGACATGTCTAATTAGTAAATAACAAAACTGGAACCCAAGGAAAACATGCTCAAGACCAAAGCCTTTGAATTATAGGCTAATGCTTTGGGGTTTGGTTTACTCTTGATGGTCTTACAATTACAATTCTATTTGGAGAGCTGAGCTTCTGTGTTTTTGTTTTTGTTTTTGTTTTTTTAAGATTTTATTTATTTATTTGACAGAGAGAGAAAGAGAGAGAGAGAGCACAAGCAGGGGGAGGGCCAAGCAGAGGGAGAGGGAGAAACAGGCTTCCCACTGAGCAGAGAACCTGACGTGGGCCTCAATCCCAGGACCCTGGGATCATGACCTGAGCCAAAGGCAGACACTTACTGATTGAACCACCCAGGTGCCCCTCTGCTTCTGTTTTATAAAGCATAAGCTTGCAAAACAAAACCAGAAAACCTTATACTAGCCTTTGTAGAGTTGTTTGTTTTTTGTTACTTACGAAGGATTTAAGACCCTATCATTGAAGTAATGGTCACTCTTCCTAACAATAAGCAAATCAAATGGAAGTTTCAGGACCAATGCAATATTAACATAATGCTCTCCAATGAATCTGGGCCCAGCAATTTTTTCCCTTTTGTGAATTATTTCACAGTGAACCTTCTATACAAATTGTGCTCCTATTAGGCGTTGTTTTCTCCTTGGTAAGCTGAAGTAGAGGTCAGGTTCATTACAGTGGAAAGCACGGCAGGAGAGTTATTGGCTTCCTAACGGTCCTAACATTAAGTGTGACATGAGCGTGTTCACAATCTCTCCACGTCTATACTACCCGCAGTGAGCTAAAATGAGGTGCACCAGGCTCAGAAAGAGGATGTCCATATCAAAGTCTTGCTGTCACTTACTAGCCAGGGGATCTCACACAGACCACTTAGTCTGCATCTATCCGAAAGAGAAAAAAAAATATCAACACAGTGATTTCCAAATTTTGCTGCACATTAGAATCACCTGCAGAGCTCTGGAGACATCCCAATCCCCAGGCTGCATCCCATAGGGATTAAATCAGGATGTTCAGGTACGGGAGCCCAGTCTGAGTAAATTTTAAAGATACTCAAGTGATTCCAATGTGCAGCGAGGTTTGGGAGCCACTGAATTAACTAATACTTTCACAAAGCTGCTTTTAAGATGAAAAAAAATGGAGAGACTTTGTATAATAGCATACAGTACTTTACAGAGTGATATGAAATATAACCCCCAAAGTAAGTACAGTGCTGTAAAAAAAAATACATTATTTTAAGGAGCTTGATATTTGTTCAAATTTTAGTTCAGCAATCATAAAGAAACTATACACAAGTGATCAGTTTTACTGGATTTTTTTTTTGCCAGAGTTACAGCCAATCTAACAATTCCTAAAATTTTCATTTCATTCATTTCAATTTCATTTTCATTTCATTTAAAGCTGTTTTCAACATTATTTTAACCTTATTTTTTCCTTACCTTTTTCCTTCTCTATTAAAAATTAAGAAAAGTGTCATCTATTTTGTTTCCTTCAAAAAGTATCAAGTACCATATTCTCATTATGTGCTTATAATAATCATAAAAGAATTATGTGGGGACACCTTCGTGGCTCAGTCAATGAAGTGTCCAATTCTTGATTCTGGCTCAGGTCATGATCCCAGTGTCGCGGGATTGAGCCCCAGGTTGGTCTCCATGCTCAGTGGGGAGTCCGTTTGAGATTCTCTCTCTCCCTCTCCATCTCCCCCTGCCCCCCTCCTAGCCCTAAGTGCATGTGCACAGCATGCTCTCTCTATATATACATATCTCTCTCTCTCAAATAAATAAATAAATTTTAAAAAAGAATATGTGCAGAAAAGAAATCTGAGCAGTCAGAAAAAAAAATTTGTCTGAAGTGACTTAGTTCAATGCTACAACTTATTTAAAAAAATATATCACACACTCTAGACATTTTGTTCTAATAATCCACCATAATGATCTATTTGGAAACAAAGACCTATTTAGTAAACATTTCTTGCCCAGATTTTTTTCACCTCCTGATGACATAAATCATTTCTGTGCTAAATTTGTAATCAATACATCAGATTCAACCAGTTTATACACAGTCCTTGTTTTGTATTAATACCATCAATTTCCATAACCTTCTAGTTAATTAGACTTACCAAAAAGATCATGTAATTTATGTAATTAGAGTTCAAATAACATGTTGCCTAATTAAAATGCACCCTCTGTTTTGTTACTAGACATATTAATATACCCAATGACAACAAAATACTAAAATTAAACTGTGATTAAGCAACTACAAATGTAATCCATCCCCTGAATGATTTTTGCCTGGGGGTCTTTTACCTTTGGAGGCTTGTTAGCATCCATGCCCTCTTTGAATTTCTCCTGCATAGTTTCTGCAAGTTGACAGAGCAAGGCACCATTATCCAATTTTTCCATAAAAGTTTCTGCTGTAATCTCCTTCCCTACAATAACAAAAAGAAGCATTATAAAAACACAATCATTCCCCAACACAAATGTGACATTGATGCCAACGTATTTGACACAGTTTTTATCACCAAAACTTCTATTCCAGCTGAGTTACATATACCTAGGATGGGAACTCAAGGAAAGAATGGTTTCTTTGGAATTTTATGTTTTCCCTTAGTGGCAAGAACCAAACATTTTACATTTTCATAACATAATTTCAACTGCATAAAAATTTTATTTCACATTAAAAGTGGCAAAATGATATCCTATGTGAGAGTCCCACCACTTGGCAATCAAGAGGAATAAAAACCAACCAGTCAATGAAACTCAAACTGTTTTATCAATGATTGTACAGTTTGACCTCTGAGATTCATTCAGTTGTCATCCTCAATAGCCCATTCAATTACTCTGGGCTGCAAGGCAAAGACAGAAAGCAGAACGGTCATTCTGTGTTTTGCTTATGTCTTTGATGACAAGAACACCAAAGCTCTCCTTTCTTTAATTTGAAATAGAGGCATGCTACATCAAAAATCAACCACCATTGGCAACTGTACTAGCATGGCCAATGCATAAACCACGTTTCTAAGTTCTATTGAATTTGTTTTCCTGATTAAGATAATGCAGGCAAAACCAATACAAGTGATAAAACTCTGAAAGACTACCTCTCTAACCATTCCGTCTTCCTGCCACCATCTTTGAACTCTGGATTATCAGGTTCAGTCTCTGTTCTTCTCTCTTCTCAAAACCACTCAGCTTCTACTACTGCTCTTATGAACATTATTAACAGTTGTCTATCCCTGACATTTAACCATTTAAAGGTTGTCTTCTTTTTTATATTCTCCCAAAACATATTTTGTTCCTTTTTTCCTTTAATTTTGTAATGGCTTTATTGTGATATAATTCCCATGTCTTACAATTCACCCATTTTAAGTGTATAATTCAGTGGCTTTTAGTACATTCAGAGTTGTGCAATCATCACCACGAACAATTTCAGGACATTTTTATCACCCCCCAAAAGAAACCCTCTACCTGTCACTCCTGATTCCTTCTTTCCCTCAGCCACTAATTTTTTTTTTAATTTTTAAAGATTTTATTTATTTATTTGACAGAGAGAGACAGTGAGAGCAGGAACACAAGCAAGGGGGAGTAGGAGAGGGAGAAGCAGGCTTCCCGCTGAGCAGGGAGCCTGATGCGGAACTCGATCCCAGGACCCTGGGATCATGACCTGAGCCGAAGGCAGACACTTAACGACTGAGCCACCCAGGCGCCCCTGCCACTAATTTTTTTCTTATATGCTCCTCAAATTCATTTCCCCCAAAGCTCTCTCCTTTTCCTGGTGCTCTAATTCTCTAAGTTTCAGCATATTTTATTTCCTGCTTTAATTTCCTATACCATATTAGTCACAAGTCCTGTAGATTCATGCTTCCTTCTGTTTCCTGTACCATAATCGTAATAAAAATTTTCATGATTTGATACCTAAACCTCTAGTGACAAAAACAGTGGCTATTCCCTGTCCTCAACTTCTCTCTTCAATATGTATCACACTCATTGCTAAAATTATTATTGCTAAACACCACATTCACTGGGTCATTATTCTTCTTCATTGCATAGTCCCTAGTCTTCTCTTCCACCCAAAATATGAAATATATCCACTTGAACATATCCAAAGGCTGACCCTTATGCCTCTAATCCACCTTTCTAATCTAACATCCTTATACTCTCCCTGACTCTTGGTCTGCACCCTGCCTTCACAGTTCCTCCAGCAAGACCTTCTCATTTCTACTGTCAAGCCTTTCTTCCTGGCACGGCTTCTGCCTATGATGTTCTCTTCCCTTGTATCTGCCTGACCAAGTTCTAGCTTTCCTTTAATCCAAAATCCAGAAAGAGATTCTCCCAGTGCATACTGATCTCTTTTCTATATGGTCGCATTCAAAAGCATCACTTATTTTGGCAACTTATCAAACCTCTTCTATTGCTACTAATATGTTCTGTGTAAAGTTCATGTCTTCCTCAAACCTCTTGGGGCATGTTGTGTGTGTGTGTGTGTGTGTGTGTGTGTGTGTGTGTGTGTGTGTGTGTTCCTATAGATGTAAGCATGTTATTATCATAGTAGGCACCTAGAAAATATGTTCAGTGAACATGTAAATTAACAAATGAAGAAATAAACTGCTGGAAAACTTTGACAAAATGTTGGGTATTCTTTTTGTAAAAAGTAGTTAAGTTAAAGCAAAAAAGAAAGGAACGCTTTAAAGTTTTATATGGAGATTCTCATAGAATTAGCTTTTAAGAAAAAAATGCATGCAGTTCAATTCCATGAACACTTAAATATAACCCAAATGGAACAATAGATAAACTACTGGCTTAAAGTTCAACTCACAATATATAATATATTTGGATTTCAAAAAACATCCGTTTGAATTTTTTTTTCACCGTTTTGGGGGAAGGGCAAGTAAAGGAAAGAAAATTACTTTTTTAAAAATGTTCTTTTTTCCCTACTGGATACTTTGCATTTTAGTCCCCAGTAAGCATAATGACTTCTGCAGGTGGTAAAACATGAGTAGCTCTAACTACTCACCACAGAGGTAGCCTATACAAAACTACTATTATTTCAGAATTGTATGCAGCTCAACTTAATTCAGGAATTAAAGTAATATTCTCAAGATACAAAAAGTGAGCACAACAAAATTTGTATTATGCATGCAGCATATTGGCCTGCATTTGCTAATAAGAAAGTTATTTTGGAAATAAGTATGAAAAGTAAATATTAGAAATATTTTCAAAACTGTCAATTAAATTTCAAGGTAAAGAAGATAAATTTTACTCCAAATTATTGAATGATTCCTTTATAAATTAGTTATAAGATTCTCTACATTTGAAAGAGGCCTTTAGGTATTCCTATTTCATTACATTCCATGGCAATTTAAAGATTCTATTCATAATGTTAAGTGACAAGATGATTACAATGAATTTAAAAGAACTTGTAAAGTATAAAAAGAAAAATGCCTTTCATTAAAAAGTTATTAGCAATTTACCAAAAGGTATGATTTTTACTTTTTATGCATTATACCTGAAAATTTTTAGTTATTCTGATTTTCATGAATACTTGAAGAAAGAATTTACATTAAACATCTGTATCTAATGAAAAATATATTAGGTGTCAGCTTTCAATTCTGTATATTTTATAGCTCCAAAAGTTGGATTTTTTTTTCTTTTTTGCTAAAACAGACACAGTTACGTACTTTATAGTTGAAACATACTGCCTCAAATGAAGGAAAAATGCAAGATGGAGAAGTTTTTTTAAATCTTCATATGTAACATATTTTCCACCCAAAGAATCATAAAATACACATTTTAAACATACTTTGTAATTGTAAGAGATCAATATAATCTTTATATGGAATGATATATTATCTCACTCTTATTATATTAATATCACCAAAAATTTTTAAAAAATCATCACATAAAGTTAGCTCAATTTAACCATGACAAGTCCATTAGAACAAGCTATATGAAGCACTAATTACAATTTCTCAAGTAAATATTATAAAAAGCTAAATACCTCTGTTAGGCAAAACCAGATCTTCTTTAATAAGAATTGTGTAGCTTTTTTGAGACATTAGATTATAAATACTAGATGCAGTAGGATTCTAGAATCATAGAATCACTTCTTCCCCAGCTCTGTCCTTCCATGTTATTGGTATGTTTAGGAAAAGATAGGGCAATGAATAGATACAATTAAATCATCTTGGAGTACCAACTGACCCACAATGGAGTATAAAGACTATTGACTTGAAGGTTAATCTAAAATAGCCTAGTCTAGGGGTGCCTGGGTGGCTCAGTTGGTTGAGCCTCTGACTCTTGATCTCAGCATAGGTCTTGATCTCAGCATAGGTCTTGATCTCAGGGTTGTGAGTTCAAGCCCTGTGTTGGGCTCCACTCTGGGCATGGTGCCTACTTAAAAAAAATAGTCTAGAAGTAATATCTTTACTTCTTGAGTTCATAATTGTGGACTCTGATCTTCATACCACCAATTCAGTATGACTGACAGCTTGCCAACAGACAAAGATCAGGAAATTTGGTTAAAGACTGTGGTTAGTCACTTTCTCATAAAATGCTAGGGCATAATAATATGAAATAAAGATCTGCCTGAAATTTTTTGCCAAGTAACTAAATCAGCACACATGCTTATACACATCAGTACATTCCTCCCAGAAGTATGTGCTTGCCATAATTTCCATCATGATTAAGTATCAATCAGTAGTGTTTTAGACTGAAGCCACTTTTTTACCTTCTACTTTGCTGAGAAAAAAAGTTTTCCTTCCAGTAAGTTAGCAGTACTAAACTCGGGTTCCTAAAGATATGATAACATCTAATAATGGTATTTAACATTTGAGACTTAATTACATGCCAGGCACTTTACATGTATTCATGTTTTTAATCTCCTCACCAATCTGTGAAGTGGGTGCTATTATTGTCTCCATTTTACAGATGATGAAACTGAGGTATTAGATTAAGTAATTTGCTTAAAGTTACTCAGTGAATCTGGATCTTTAACCCATGATATCTAGATTTATTCAGTGAATCTGGATCTTTAACCCATGATATCTAGGCTTAGAGTCTAATGCTCCCAGCCACTACGCTTGGCTACTTAAATATTTGCTGAATACACAAATAGCTATTTTCTATAATAAAGTATTCTCCCTAATTCTGTTGTCTTTTTCTTTGTAGAACTCCAACAAAGCCTTTCTGAAACAACAACAAACAAAAGCCACTTGGACCTGAAGATACTGTTGCTAAAGACTGAAGAGCAGTCCACTGTGTAGACTGGAGAATGGCTGAGAAAGTCATTCAGGATGTTCTGATGTGTGGCCTGATTCACTGCAGAAAACTGGTGTATATATCATCTCTAAAGCTGATGTAGACAGGACCCAATTCTACTGCAAACTCAAGTGTACCTCTCAATCCTCGTATATTTCTCTAATTGGAGAACTCAAAG